AACTACATTGAAAGCATTAGGATGGGACATTAAAGTGTACACTGAAACTCAGACTAATGAGCTTTTACTCTGGTGATGTATCCTGTGAACACACTCAAGGACCTGGTTCAGTCTGACAGCAAGAGGAACGGGCAAAGCATTTCTATTTTGCTCTTGCTGTGCTCTTAACCTCCTGAAACATCTCCTCAGACACATCTAATCTTCTCATCCCATGCTGCTCAATCTTCCTACAGTCAGTTAACCCAGCAAAGGCAGATTAATGAGAAATTAATCTTTTTAATTCACTGTAAAGGTCTCTTGTTCTTTTAACCAGATAAGCCGCCACTGGACTTTGCCAGATGATGATAACATTAAATGTAATTTATGAAGACCTTTCTGTAATATAGAACCTTCATCTCAGCGTGGACTTCAGCTGACAGCGAGAAAAAGAAGTCAAGACAGCATTATGGTGATCATTCTCTCTTTCTAAAGCTCAGTCAAGATGGTTTACATCACTGCATCATTTGCAAATGTTTCATAGCTAAAACATGGAATTACAATGAGAAAATAAATGTGAATTTCAGCCTTGGACAGCAAAAGAAAAAACACAATACACTTGTAAACTTTGTAAGCAATACATTTACATTTCACCGAGTGAAGCTCTGGTTGTTTTTCCATCTGCAAATTGCGTTTTCCCCATTTATTTCTGGGAACTGTCATGACTCATTCAAGAATAACATTAAACATAGTGTGTGTTTATGTATTAGTGTGTGTGTATGAACGTGTACATGTGAAAACAATAAAACTGCATCCTGCTGTGTTTCACGCATTGCTACACAGTAGGTGGCTATTTCCTGCTTTGCCATGTCATTAGTTTGTTATCAGCTACTGGCTTACAGGTGACTCATACACACAATGAACAATGACACCATGCATCAGCCGGTTGCCAGGCAACCTGCATAGCTCCGACTGACTGTGCAGAAACAGAGGCTGATAGAAATCTTGGGAAAGAAACAGACACTGTGGGGAGCATAATTTTACAAAACTTTCTTTTGGAATCTCCACAAGACATCAAAAGTTACACAAAAGTTTAAACTAAAAACGAGACAAGTGACCGTGTTACACATGTCAGTTATTTCTAAACTGTCATGTACATGAAAAACCTGGTTACTGTAACTAGGGCATGGAAATAAGAGAATTTAGATGATTAATTTGGAAAGAAGCAGTAAAACAACAACCTTAAGCCAGCATTATTGGAGCAACAAAGAGACAATATTAATGCAGGATGCCATGATGAAGTACAACAGAACATTAACCCTCTGAACTCTACGCAGTTACTGGACATTTTTTTGCTCCTATCACATTTTTCCTTACTGTGGGCTCGTTTCAAACTGCAATAAAAAAAAAATAGTCCTGCACCTCTGTGGAAACAGCACAACAACGCTAGAGTTCAGAGAAGTCAGTAATTCCTTCTGTGCATTATGACACAGTTATGGTCAATTCGTGGTCCCGTCCCCCCCCACCCCCCAAGTCCACCAGGGTCTGTGCAGACTGTCTGCATGCAGCACAAAATCTGTGACCACACAGACTGTCAGCACTTCAAGTGTCGACTGTGCATGTGGCATGAAAACAAGTAGTGTTTAAAACAAATGTTCGGTATGAGAAGAAACTGAGAATCTCAGCCATCAACACCCTTAGAACTCAGCATTAACAGAGCTGTGATTGAATTATAGCCTGCATGACTTTGAAGGAGCTTTGTTTGTACACGCTTTTTATCAACACAGCCCAAACACAGTATGAAGTCCTAATTTCTTCAAAAATCCTATGCTCGGCTCTGTGCTACAGCGTAATCTATACCCAGCTGGTGTTTCTCTGTGTATTTCTCTGTGTTCAATATGAGGGTAAATACAACCGTCCACGTAAAGAGCCGTGTCCACAGCCCGCTTATTAGCCTGCTTACATGAATGCAGAAAGAATGAACGGATTCCTAAAATTCCATAAATCTACTGAACAGAAAAAAACAAACCTAATTTTCTTCTATTATTTATTTTACAAGAACTGGAATCAAATGTGTGCAACATTTTTCTAGGTGTGCACAGGTGTTACAAACACCCGGAAAAAAATGGGGGCTGTACATCCTCTAGATGTTTTACTATTTGCATTTTCATTTTGTTTTCATCCTGATCTCCTACCTGCTCTGTGTAAGCACAGCCTGTGATTCAGCTGAAAACTCCTTCATTTTTTTGCCTCATGACTGTTGTTGTGCGGGAAGTCATGGCTTCTTGTTTGTGACAAGGAGTCTAGAATTTTTTGCTTTTTAAAAAATCTGCTTATTGCATACAGTTTGTTTTGAGCATTTTTTTCATTTGATAAAACATCCCAAGCAATCAGCTGTTTAAGGAACCAGGTTATGGCAGTGTAGATAAATACTTTTACTGGTTTCTGCTGTTACCAGGTGTCCTACAGTAGTCAAGCTACTGAAGTGCAAGTAAACATAGTGTTTGTCTGTGAAGTACGTTGAGAATGCTAAGAAAGAACTATAATTGTTTTAGCCACAGACAGTTTGTGGGTTAACTTTTAACTTTCTGTGACTATATTAAGTCTCAGCCAGATAAAAAATATTGCTGGAATAAATGACTGAATTCTGAATCCAAAAGTCCAAAACACTGAAGAGCTGTCCAAAGATGTGGAAAGGTCTGCCAGTATCTCTGTCAGCGCTGTGTATTGCTAATTACAATTCGCTTCCACAGAGCCTGTCCATGGTAAACCATCATGTTTCCCTTTGTGTAATGAAGTCCTTGCTGTCATTGTTTTGATTTACCTTTATATTACTGTTCATTCAACACATAGAGTAGAAGCCTCTAATCTGTGTGTCTGCTGTGCTTTGTCAGCAAACGCTTTCCCAGCACGTTCTCTAGCTGCTTCACAGTAAAAGCCTCCAGCAGTTCACTGGTGTAAAATTATCAGTTCTCTAAGCAAGAGCTCTTTTTGGCTGCATTGTAGCTGTATAAAACAAGAGCATTATACTGTTTCATAGTTTCTTCTCTTTTTTTTCCTGTGTCTTTTAACCAAACTCAAATGGGACCAAGCTACATGAATCAAGGACAAAGGCAGTATGATGTCAGAATGTGGTTTGATGTTCCCAGCGAGTCCTCGTTCCACAGAACGAGTAAATTTTGTGCCCAAGTCAATTAAATTCAAGTATAAACCAATGAATACTTAACTTGTGCATGGAAAACGGAGAACTCGTGTGTTATTTTACATAAGTAGTAATCACAAAAGGCTTCATCACACATCATAGACTGATACATGATGTATGAGGCAGTATGGACCTGCTTAAGGTAACAGCAGTTTTATGATTTCTTTTCTTACTAAACAGTGATACTCTACAGTAAGGAATTTGTGGATGGTTTGAGTCAATATGGAAATAATCCGATGTAAACCAGGTAATAATAGTTAAATAATCCACCCACTGTTCATTTGCCAAAACAATTATCGTGCTCCGTTGTGGTTTTACAGTCTTGCTTTTTCTTAAACCTTCACTCAGTACAGATTGCTTTGGCTTACTTGTAACCTAAGTAAAACAAATGCCTTCAGAGCTACCTCCTTCCCAAGTTGGATACCTGTGGTTTCCCTCTATTGTGTTGTCAAGCCAGTGTCAAACCATTTTCACACTGGAGGAGCCAAACCAAAGCCCGTTTTCCTGCCAACAACAGCAGCTGCTATGGCAGCACACTGGGAGGTCCACTTTATAGGAGCAGGTCACTTCTTTAAAAAGGGCAATAAGAACATTTTGCTCAACTCTGCCTACACCAAAGATTCTGAGAGTCAGTGTCTTGTTGGAACGAGCTTCAGTACGTAACTTCATGAGGATACAGACTGCAACTCACCCACCAGAGACAGATCAAACAGGCGCTCGTTTAAAAGACAAAAACGGTAGCTATTCAAAATAAATTGTCAGTGAGGAGCTTGCTGTTTATCCCTACAGTTTGCACACAGTTTCTTTTAAACTCATTGGGTTCTTTTTTTTTTTTTTTTTTTTTTTTAAAGGGCACAAATGTGACCTGGCATTGACTGTGCAGATGTGTCTCCTTGTGCGTGCGGTTTGGAAGGATTCATCAGTTGATCACAGCACACCTACCACTTCAGCACCATAATCCTCAAGCACGTCTACAACACTGGCACAACCTATATTACCTTCCTAAACCACATGCTGCCAAATTGGCAGACACACTGATTAAGATGAAGTCTACTTTCTGGAAATGAAAAAGCTGTAAATCGTGGGTTTACACAGCAGAATGAGGCAGTGAGAGGGGGAGAGAGATCACACTCCAGTGCATTGCTTCAAAGGAAACTTCAAAACAGTGATGGAGCACATGGGAGACCAAACCTCCTGCTAGGCAAGCCAAGTCCGAGCCAGAACAAAGTCTACACATTTAGACTCCAAGGTACTTTGATAACTAGTACTCACACCATCTATATCTCAATCACAGCACTGTGTTCAGCATCTCCAGTCTTCTTTTTCTTTTTCATATCACTGTATGCCCTATTTTGGTGATTTGATATGAGATTCTCTTGGCCTTAACTGAGAAAAGTCCCTCAGTGGTGTAAAAATAATTCAAATCATCAGTTTGTGCATTTAGAATCAGGTGCCCATAACATTACACTTAGAATGGTGATGATGTCCTGACTTCAGGGTTAGAAATTATAACCAAATCACAAACCAAACAGTAATGTTTGGATTTACAATCCAGAGTAGGCTGCTCAGTCTTTAATCAAAATAAGCTCTACAAATGTGAAGAGTAAATCAACTAAAAATAAAAAATAAAAATAAAAAGTCGATGCTTTCCTGATGTACGCTGTGTTTTAGCTTGATATACATATGCCGAGTTATGTAGCTGACCACTAATTGTCCTAAACCACTCATGTCGTGATCTACGACAGAGGCTTTTTGGCGGACACGCGAAAAAACATTTGAATATGCCAGATTTTAAACGGAGTGTTGTCACGCTTCCACTCACCCGTATTCTTCTCATCGCAGCCACAATCTCAACTCGGCTGCTTGGCCGCGTCACGTCCAGACTGCCGATATACTGTAGTCAGGAAGGTAAAAAAAAAAAAAAAATGACAGGTACAACACATTAATGGATTAATAGTTGGCGTTCACTTCATTTTAATTTAGAAAGACCGTTCAAGTTTCCACCTGAGGCAATAATTAACTCTGCGCAACTTCACCGCCTCGGCTAGCTAACAACTTAGTTCACGAGCTAGCGAGATGTGTCGCGATTGGGTTTCAGTATTTAAAAAAGTCGATATTTCAGTTAGCTTTGAACACCATATCTCTTTGTTAAACGTTTGGGTGTTTGGACACAGGTTGGTAAACGAAGAACACTCAAAACCATATCATTTGAGTTAAGTTGAGCGCTACCTATTAGCCGTTTACACTTTAAAGTTTGTAAATTCACCTTTGCCTCGAAGTTGATCCCATGCTGGAATGCTTCCTCGTTGTGCAACGGGATCCTCAGATCATGCCCATCATCAACGAGGTTGTACTTGGTTTTTCCAGGCATTTTCACCAGCATTTACTACTCCACACTACCAGAGGAAGCAAGAAATATCAACCGAGTCGATTCAATAGAAAGAAATCCAAGAAGAAAAAAAAAACAATCCCAAATCCGGTCAGTAGATGTTCTCCATCGCAGTGAAGCGTCCCGGCATTGTAACGCTGCTACGCCGCCCACAACAGCGGCCAAGTGGCGGCAACAACTTGAGCAGCGCTCCGGCGAACCGCTGCCCCGCTAACGTCCACCGTAACTGCTTCACAAACACATGCAGGAAGACGGGAACAGCGTCATGCGTGGGCAGATGTGTTTTCCTGACTTTTCCTGTGGTGAGTGTGGAAGTTGGTCGGGTCCTGTCTCCGGTTCTGGACTCTCCCCCCCCCCCCGCACGGAGGGAGGGTGTGATTGGAGGAGTCCGGGGATCCCACCTGTTTCCATTGGAACAGAGGCGCACCGTGGCCCGCCGGAGGAGTGGCTCGAGCTGTGGTACCTGCCCCCTCTCTGCACTTCTACCCTCCCTTCACACACACACACTCACACACACACACAATAATGGGAATAACCCGACTGGCACCCATGCAAACTCAAGAGTGGTGTAGACGGTTGTATATTCCCATTTCTTTTCCGCAAACTTTGGCTTTGCTTTTAGAAGTGGTGATACATTATTTTTCAAAGCTTTTTCCCACAATAGAGGGGAAAAAATGACTTTTTAGCTAAAGCAAAGAGAATGTCAGGAAATGTGTGGCTGAGCAGCAATACCTATCACAAGATCAAGTGCTTCTCTGCACAACATAACTTCAATGTGATCTGATTTGTTCTGCACTTATGTGACTTTACAGGTGAGGCTGCTTCTGCCTAAAATAAAAAAAGGCAAGGCTACCAGCTAGTGGCCATATCTGCTGGTAACTCCTGAGAAGTATTCCATAAATATAGGAGAGGCTTTAGTGCAAAATATCAGAAACTTTATCAGCCAAAATGAATCAGGTCAAAACAAATGCTTACTGTTGTTAGCTCGGGACATTCTCAGTGATAACATGCTGGTGTTGATAATTAAAATCCTCCACACACTCTCTTAAAGCCTTTGTAATTAAAGCATCTTCAGAACCACTGTGATCAGTAGACGCAGCAGAGTCTTGTTCATGTTTAATACACTTGTCATGTTGTATAATGCACACACCATCTGTGTCACCCTGGGAGTAAAGATGCATCTTTTCCCGCAAGGTGCTCCCAGGCGGGTAGGGAAGGGGAAGTGGGGCAGCACAAATTCACATTCTCACCACCTCTCTGGAAATATACAAAGTACTGCTGCTAATGGTGTCCTGAGGGCGTGTAGTAGGGTGATGTTGCATTTGATTTACTCTGCATGTTATCAGTTCAACACTGGCATCTGGATACCAAATTTCATCACATATTCAGCCCTGCTGCTTAATTATTTCACGATATGCAGTCAAATCAAAACATAAACATCATCATCATTCATCAAAATTAATTCCTTCATTTGGCAGCGGAGTTGTATAGGTGATGCAGCTCTGAATAGAATGATTATATGAGTCAGCATCCAAGCTTTAAATGACATATCATCAAATTTTCAAATAAATGTTCACGGTGAGGCTCACAGAGCACTCGTAATTTTGCCTTTTACTATTCTGCATGCAGTATTTTGAAGGACATGATCATAAAAACTGCTGTATTACACTATATCTTTAGTCCTTGCGGTCATGGCCACCTTGCCCTCATGACAGCAAAACAGCTAGCTGGCAGACAAGAACAGCTGCTGTCTCTGCATGAGGAATTATTGCTGAATACAACCACCCTCTTAGGGACCTCATGTGCTCTTAAGGCTCTTTTAAAAGGATAGAGAGCAACTTAATCCCTGCCAGGTCGTCAAATTCATGTTGATCTGTTGATTAGGGCTCCCATATGCTCCCTACATGAAGGGGAGATCAGCGCACAAAAACAGCGTGGTTCCACTTCTCCAAAGAGCAATATGTAAGGCTTTTACGGCTGCATAGCAAAAATGGCTACAATACTGTAGCCTCTGGGTCTCTCTGCAGAGAACTGACAAAAACACAAAAGCTTTTTAGAATCCTGGTAAACCTCAACCTGCCTTTCTACGCAATTCCAGTAATCCTACTTAAGACACCATGCATGTTTTATGTATTAGGGAATGCAGGCATGTCCTCAGGTCTGGCTTCAGGTCAGGATATAAATTTGTAACAGTTTCAGGTGAGGTGTTTTAATCCTAACATTGGTGACCTGTTTCCATCGCCTCTTTCCCAAATCACGCTGGGTTAGGCTCGACTCCGCCGAGAACCCATACAAAACAAGTGCTTTAGAAAATAAATGGATGCTTATAGTTTAAAGCTTTTATTCACAAGTGTCTGTGTTTTCAAGGAGCACAATCCTGAAATGTTTAAAGTGTCCTCACACACTCAGATTTGTCAAAGCAGCCCCATAGCATTACTTGCTGTAATTTGTATTAGAATTTTGAGGTGATTATAGCATCTTTCCAAGTATCCTGATGGCATGTGTTTTTGTAGAACAATGAGATGACGTCTGTGAAAACCATTTCCCCAGTGCATTTACAGGTTACAGTGTCCCAGGCATGGAAACATGGGATGCCAAGCAAGGAGGGTGGAAACATATGTTGCTGTCAACCAAAGAGTCTTTCTAACCAACCATGCCAGGAAGTGTCATGGCCACTGAATTTAGAACTGTGCGTCATGTTTTTTATTCATTACAGTCCTTAGGTCCTAGTTGAGAGGACTATACTTCTACACATCCAACAGCACTGAAACTTATGTAATTATTTTCCTCAATTCACATTGTTCAGACGCTTTTCAATGTTTTCCTCAAAACACTGCTGTTACCCGGATTGCTGCGGCCACAAGGCAGAGTACTAACCACTATACGATCACGGTGAGCTGTCTTTGGGATGGCCATAGCTGGCACGACGAGTGATCCCAACCATTTTGTTGCAAAAACTTGTTTTTGTCATATCGAGTTATAATTGCCCACACAACAAAATAATAAAACATGTAGTTTTAAGCTTCCATATAATATGTCCTAGAGACTATATTATATAGATATAGATTATATAAATACACTTAAAATACAAGGCACACCTTGTTAAATTAGATTTTGGTGTTTCCTTTATTTTATATTTACTTTTATGTAAAAATCTGGATGTTTTTTTTCCCACAGCTTCTGCATCATGTAATTCAGTGACTTCATATTCACGCCAGATGTTAGGTTATTACTTCACTGGACTAATAAGACACATCTCTTTTTATTAGACGTTAGTGACTCTTCTACTTTATGAACATTTTTATGGGAATACATATGTTTTTCAACGACTTTCAAGTAATGTGACTCTGTGATTCCAAATCACTTCCAAAATATATCTCCACACAGGCCACATAAAACATAACTTTTCATACTTTTTTTTTTTTAACTGGGCCATGCATTCCTCTAACTGAAATGAAGGAGACATACAGGAAAGGCAGTTTGACATTAGTAAATCCTGTTGGGGCTTTAAAAGTGTTCACAGCTCATTAGAGAACATCCCACACTTGAATGTTCCTAAAATGTTACCCCATAAAGACCCCAGATTTAAAGAAACTGTAACAAAAAAAACAGAGGCGTGTCACTTTTAGTAGTTGAAGTTGGAGTAAGGTTTTCATAAGTGGATCCTTTTTTGTTTGTTTACTCTCATGCAAATTAATTAAGGACACACATGCATCGCATCAGACAATAGCTATGCACAGTTCCACTTATTGGAAGTCTGGGGTTGTAACACACCGAAAAATTTAGAGTGAATGTGAGCACAGAACTTTAAATAAACATGTATTAAACAATGGAAACATTACAAGTAAGCTCCAGAAATCTTATACGATGAAATAAATGTTTGTTAGGCCTGAAGCATACACACAACTGGGTTTCTACTTTGCCCCAGATTGCATGGGAGGCCTTTAAATCATCATTTAAAAAGAAATAAAAAATAAATAAAAAATGAGCACAGGAAAAAGAGAGGTGACGTTCTTTATTTGCATCGGGTGACTGACAAAATATTTTTTTTAAATTCCAGGAGGACCTGAAGTGACTTTGTCGTCAAAGTGATCCAACGTGGTTTATTCTCGGTTATGCACAACTGTACTAAGGTAACACAGAATGTTTGAGACTATTTTCCATCGTTCCTCCACTATGCCAGCATTTTTCAAACCCAACAACGAAATATTCACAAAGATGCTCTCTTAAGTGGACTCATCTGAACTGAGACTGGGCTTTGGTGTAAAAGACTGCTTATGTTCACACCCCCACACACACACTTACACATCTTGAGGGCCTTTTAAGCTAAATTAATAATGGTGATTTTCAAAGAATGTGGGCCACATAACAAGAGGAGTACATCTACTTCTGCTTTCAGCAAAGAAGACATACAAAAAGGAGAGCCATGGCACAAATGATGGCAACAATACATCTATAAGTTTGCCTGAAGTGATGAAGCATCATGTAAAGCAACAGAAAAGCAGTCTGCAGCTCACACTCAGGGGTAGATGAGTACAGATAAAATCCTTCTCTGATACATAAAGAAAGATTCACAGAGCCTAGAAATATCCATTATCTATGCACATACAAGGCTTATACAACCCAGTGTTAATTAAGTAACGTGCTTGGACTGCAGTTTAATGACTCACTGCTGTGTTTGTTAAGACAACAGATGGAAAGCTGATTGTACAGCAAAGTGACTTAGATGTTTCAGAAAGAAGATCCCTTAATAGAGATATTTGGAAACAGAGAAATTAGGCTTGAAATGACTCCAGATCAGTAATACCTATTTAGAAGTCTCTGAGCAACCAAGAGCTACTCCAGTCATCTCAGTCCAGTACTTACTGAAACCATTATAATAATCCTTTGTGACTATCTTTTAGGGCTGCAAGGTGGTGCAGTTGCCTCGCAGCAAGAAGGTTGCTGGTTCACGTCCTGGTGGGGGCACTGGAATATTGCAATGTGGGTTCTCTCTGGATTCTCTGGCTTTCTCCCACAAGTCCAAAAACATGTTGAGGTTAATTGGTGATTCTAAATTGTCTGTAGGTGTGCAGATAATGAATGGACCGTCTTTTAGGCCTCTGGAACACTGTCAGTGTCAAAGTATGAGCAGTTTGAAAAGCCTATATTTTTCACATTTACAGGTGTGTCATTTTGGGCTGCAGGGTGGTGCAGTTGGTAGCACTGTTGCCTCGCAGCAAGAAGGTCACTGGTTCGTGTTGCGGTGGGGGCACCGGAATCTTTCTGCGTGGAGTTTGCATGTTCTCTCCGTG